GGGGGGGGGGGGGGGTACTCCATTTCGGTAGTGTAGAAGAATGGACAACGAACGGAGAGGGGCACCACGCCCCTAAGTGTGTTCTCTCCAGCAACCACACTGATCGGACATGATCGAGATGGCCGACCGGGCTCGGGAAAGGGGAGCGGAGGATGAACACAAATCTCGAATCCAGGAACGGCAAGGCGGCAAGAGACATGGGGGGGGGGGGCAATTAAAAGCCCCGGCGTCATCATGGAAACACGAACGTGGGAGGGCACAAGGGGGGAGAGGACCATTCCCATGCCCTTCTGGAGGTCCTGTTTCTCACCGGGGGGGGGGGGGGCGGGGACGCCCTTGAGAGCTCAGACGGGCAAACCTGTTTACTATTCCCCATTCGGCGACGTGGGGCCCGAAGTGAGTTGTCAGAAAGCAGATCGAGATCTGACTGAGCTTCGGCATCCGAGCGCCTGACGGTGGCCCGGCCGGCGAAGGAACATGCGGAGGCACACACGCGGCAAGGATACACCGCGGCCGGGGGCATACAAATAGGCCCACCGACACACCACAACACAACACAACACATAAATACACCAGAACACCCTGCACGGAGACATCACTTTTAGACACGATCGGTGAACGGGCGGGGGAGGGGAGGGAACACTGAGCCGACCCCCGCCGTATCGAGGAGCACGGCCAAAGAGCAAATACATCCGCACACGCATCCACCCGCCCACACACACACACACACACACACACATACACACATACACACATACACAGGCGCTCACACGAGCTCCTGACATGCTTGATTAATCTGTCCGCTTTTAGCTGCCAGAAGGTAGACATCCGCCCCCTGCCCCCATCGAGCCCTGGCGCGTGCGTACCCCTGTGGAGCCCCCCGTTCTCCCCGGGGCTCTGGCCGCGTCGAGAAGAGCCTGGCAAGTGCTTGTGTGGAGGCGAGAAAAGCGGCGACCCTCTGACGCGTGGCATATGTGCGACCTTCAGAGGCAGCACCCGGGGCAAGCTGGCACCGGCGCCGCGGCGAGGGGGGTTAGCGAGCCATGCCCACGTCAGGTGCACCAGCTTCTCGTCGGGGCCGGTCTCCGGCGGGCACCGAACCAACAATGATGCAAGCCGCGAGCGAAGGGGATCGAAGATTCTCGCGGCAGGGCGAGAGCCATAGCGGAGGTGGGGGGGGGGGGGGGGCCTGCTTGCGGGCTGTTGACATCATGCTGCACACCCGGTCGGAGCAAGTCGTCTGGTCCCTCGACGCACCGGGGGCGGAAGACCGGGCGGGGGGCGGGGGGGCTGGGTCCGCTTTGCCGGGTCGCCGTCTGACCGGTCAGAGACGCCCAGAAGCAGAGGTGCTTTTCCTCCCGAGTAAAAGGCATGCACCGGGGCCCCCGGTGTCCGGTGTGGCCGGGAGACGCTGGCAGCCAGAAAATAGTGGCCGGTTTGCCTGGCATAGAACCGAAAGAGGACGAAAAGAAGTGATTGATCTCCTGGGGCTGTGCGGGGGGGGG